GTGTTGTTCAGCTTCAAGTTACCTTCATGACCCACGCTACAATTCCCAGAAGAACGCTACATCTCTCCTTCCCCCTGTAGGAAACTTGTCGTCTGGTATCATTTATTGCTCCGGTAAGCTCAGACAGCCCCTCAGGGAGCCTGTTTGTAACCTTCCCAACAGGACTGGTTGTAAATCATATTGCCGCTCGAGCTCGTCATCCCCACCATCGCGCAAGTCCATGTGGCACGGGGCGGTCCTTTGTTGCGGGTCTCTCTTTGGAGCAAGCTACACCGCTGAGGTTCATATTTTTTTCGGAACCAAAACATGTCTAATTTTTTGGGTACATAGATTTTTCAACTGATTCTTCTTCAAGGCGTAATCTATGGTATCGGCGGATGTAAGCCCCAGTCAACAGCTGCGAGTACACATTCAAACGATTCTAGCACTACTTTACTTGCCATGCGTTTCCTTCATGTCTGAACGGTTCGTCGTGCGCAGAGGGTTGGCAAACGGATGCGCAGAGGGTTGGCAAACGGAATTCTTCTCGCTGGTACGTTGCTTTACCGCCCTCGTTCAAATCGGGGTCTCAGAATATATGCAGGTACGGCGGGGGGCGGTCTGCTTCTTCCGCCAGTGCTTCCGCCCCTGATATCGCAGTATGGTGCGTCAAAAAAAAAAAACGCCCCGTATCCTTGCGGTGCGCATTACGGTCCTCCTCTTCCTCTGCTACCTCAGGCTTTCGGTGACTGAAGGGCCGTCTTCCTCAAACCCGCGCGCGCATTCACGGACCAGCGCCGCGTGGTGCCCCAGGCCCACACGATTGGATGAAACACAACCCATTCACCGGATACCGTCTTTTCCGCGCGGGCAGATTAAGGGGAGACATAGTATTACTTGACTCAACGGTAAGTAGACTTTGAGAACCGAATTGTGGCGGTGTCGCGAGTTTGCTGTTGTTGATTTCGAACCTTGCTTCCTCCTACCACGATGTCCTCGCCGGCCTCCATTTTCGATGCAGAGGAGGACGCTACTCTTCACAAGGTCCGGACACTGCTTCCGTTTCCTCATCCTCATTGTTTTGGATTTGTTGCTTGGCCAAGCTCTTCTCTCGATGCTGACCGATTAACAGGTGAAGCAGATGTTTCTCCAGCATCTGGAGACCGTCGACACCAGCGATGGCCTCGCCAACACGCTCGTTGTCAAGTTTAGGCTTGAACCGGAGATCGAGGCTGCCCTAGATGTCTTTGTTACTGAACATGGCTGCTCGTGCGTATTTTGTCCACATCGCCATCTCACCATTAATCAACGTGACTTCAGCATGCAGTCGCGTGTCATCAGCCGTGAGGAGCAGGACAAAATTGATAAGAGAAGGAAAACGGCACGTCTATTTTCCGACGACTTCGTTTCCTGAACTGGTTTTTCCAGTGCTCCCAGTATACTTGGTTTCAAGTGACCCCCGAGGCACAAGAGGAGTACCTGAAGACACGAAAGACTCCCGTTACACGTTCTTCCTCTGCGAGGGCCTCCCCGAAGAAGGCTGCATCAAACACCAAGGGTACACCCCGAAAGGCTACAGCTAGCCGCAGTCCGACAAAATCTCCGCGAAAAACTACAAAATCTCCCCGACAAATAAAAAATACAGCTGCTTCCAAAGCGAAGCCAGACACTCCGGAGTGTAAGTCAACTATTATGCGATCTCCCTCAAATTTACTCACTCCCCTTTGCCTCCTTAGCGGAAGAAATTGCGCTCCCAGGCCCGAGTCGCATATCGGATGAAGCCACAAACCTGGAAGAGGATATGCTTCATATCCCCCGAGACAAATTCAACAGTATGTGTGCGCGCCTTGCAGATGCGCTGGTCCTTCTCCCTACAATTGATGATGTGCGAGCAACTGAGTGCAAGGACGCGCTCATTGAAGTTGAACAAGAAATGCTAAACCTTCAAATTTTGAAGCGGCGTTTGGGTAATGACCCAGGTGCGGAGGACACATCTGTAACCCCAAAAAGATCGAAACGCCCACGCCATTAATTTGTAAACTCGTCTGCTTTTGCCTCTCGAACAATCATGTATCATTTGGCTGGTTGTGCAAACATGATTATGTATCGTTACTGGATCGATGCGATGTCTGAATTCTAAGCATTTCTGACACCGCTCGGTAGTGGGAGACGGCAAGTATTATTGAACATGGCATCTGTACTACTAGTACGACCAGTCCGACCTTAATTCGAACCGTATATGTATTGATGTTGATCAAACACCGAGAAGTCATAGCAATAGCCACACAGATCTAGAATAGGAAACCAAGAAACGACCTCGAAAAAAAAAGAGACTCCGCTGCAGACAAGAGGCGAAACCAGACGAAACTCACCTCTACGTATCCGGCGATCACACTCGCATGTACGTAATCAACCTTGATTGCATCACATCGCGGCACGTCTCTTCATTGACACAACATCTGGAAAACACCCAGTCGCTAGGTAGCACAGGATAGAGTCCAGTAGAGCTATAGAGCCATAGTCACTCCCCCCATCTACTGAGTATAACGGTAGATGGCCATGCTCTACCGTAGAGGCCTGTAGAGACCGCGTAGAGCTCCATAGAGCTCGCTTATTTCACGTGTTCGATCATTTGCATGCGCTTGGCCAGGTTGGTTGCTCCCCCGCTCTTTGCTTGTGCTCACTATACACAACGGAAATGGAGAAACAACATACATTCACACAGAACTATGTACTTATCAACGATTGAAGTAAGTACAGAATGAAATAATGAAGTTTACATTACAAAATATAAGCTCCCTGACGACTTCTTGTGGAGTCTTAGCTACGCGGTCGCCGCGCCATGGCAACTGAGTCACTTCGGACGGTCCGGAGACTGGATCGTAGGGCAAATTTGAAGACTGAGTGCGACAAGCATTGATGAGTGCGACAAGCATTGATGAGCAGTCCGACAAGAATTGCTTTGACCGAGTTCGAGATGAAACGCCGAGGGGCTTGAAACACTTCAACTTGGTTCTTGAAGGGACTTTATGGGACTTGAAGGAAGGCAACACTTGACTTGAAAGTATTTGAAGGCATTCGAAGCGCTTGAAGGGCGGTTTCGGGTAACAAAGGACGGCCTATCAATCGGGAAGGGAGTGGGCACACCATCTTAGGCTTGCAGCGCAGCTTCACTCGGGCCGATGGTCGGAATTGACAAGGGGGGCAAGAGTCGAGTGAAGTGCGATGGAAGTTGAAGTGCGATGGAAGTGGGAAGCAAAGATTCGAAAGAACGACAAGTCTTTTTTGATCCAGTCATCCGATCCTGTCGATGACCCGAGTTGCCGTTGTTCCGGATACACTCACATGTGAAATGCCGGCTCTATCCTCGACAAGGGAGAAGGAAGGGGTCTCCGTCGAGCACCGCGGTCTACAGAGGTGGTGGATGTCTATGAGCCTCTATGCAGAAATGATATCTCTACGGGCGGCTATCGAGACACCGCCACCTCTACCACGTGGGCGGCGCTCTATCAACTAGAAACCGATTTCCAGATGAACATCCCGATTCCCGACGCTCCGAGTCGGCCTCTGCAGATACTTATCCTCTCAATCCGAGTCGTTCATTCCGCATTTCTCCGCCACAAGAGCTGTTCTGCGGACGGAACACACGCTATCCTTCTTCTGATGTCAGCTTCACACCAACTGCACCATCTCGACATGTGCCAGTCTGCGCTATCCATGAGCCGTTTAAAGCCATCGGAGGGTGTCCGTTTAACCGTGCGCAGCACCGCCTGTGTCCTTCCCCGCTGACCATGGTGCGCTCCCTCCCCGCAGCTCATGCGTCGTCCATCGTCTGCGTACCTCTGCCTGATGCGTCGGTCGCCAATGATGACGCACCATGAACCCAACAACGCTACTTACGCCCATTCGTTCCCGCCCGTCTAATCACATTCACGCGCTAACACACTGCAGACTTGGATCAGCAGGCCGCAATCATATCTGCGCAGTTCGCGGAAGATGTGTGTGTAAATAAGAGTAAGGAGGGGAGAGCGGACTTGACGCGTATATACGACGCCCGGCACGCCGCCCGGGCCCGACGTTACTTTAACGCCCCAACAGCATTCGACGCCATTCACGGTGAATTTCATCAACGCCTCAAAGTCCCAGTCCGACCTGGTCCCGGGATTTGCCCGACAGCCTTACCACAAAGTTCAAACGCCCCCAGAAGACTTTGTTTCAACCTAACGAATCTGGCAAGTTAACACCTGGACAGACAGACACCGCTGATTCCTTGATCTCTTCATTCTGCGAGTAATCCAAACATAACATAACGCCTTCATTAACGTTCCTAACATCACTTTAGGTTTAAGGTGTGTGTGTGTGTAATTAAACACGGCCACACAATTAAACAGGGACGCACGCGTTAATTAAACATCCCACCTTGGATAACGTGCACTACACGCGTCGGTCTCTCTCTCTAGGACGTTACAGTCAATTGCAATTGCAACTTGCGCCGTGTATGAGGTGATTCAAGCAATTCAAGCAAGCCAAAACGAAGGAGCAACGGCCCATCAAAACCCGTCCAAAGTTTTGAAAACGGCTGTAACAACTTGGTAACAACTCCAATCCAATCTAAGTCGAACGTTAACGCACCCAGTCAACACACCCACCCATGGCCAGTCCGCGTCCCAAGATTCCCTCCGGATCCTCTGTGCTGTGAAAGGCAAACGTGACATCTAAAATTCTCTCAGTCCCTCTCAGTCCCTCATCCCTCATCGGGTTTCTCAGCGTTTCTCACCTACATCGGCGACGGGCCCACGCTTCATCGCATCGCCTCTCCCTCCTCCCTCCTTCCTTGCTTCCTTCCTAGTTCTACTCGGACGTACTTCGAATGCGAATGGCACGAGTAACTGTGGGTGGATCCAGACTGCACATCACTTACCTTCCCACGGTTCACCCTCATAGCCAATCTCCCACGTCGGAGATCTCGTTTTTCTTTCTCTCTCTCCCACTATATCCCACAAGTAACAGCGAGGAGTGTCGGCCTGGTGGTGTAATGGTAACATGTCCTCTTATTATAAGACGCAAAGACTTTGCAGAAGAAGCACCCCGTTCGATTCGGGGGCGAGGCCAGGCCATCCCCTCCCACTCGTGTTTTTATCGGCTCTTCAGCTTCGCGTGAACTGTGCACTGCACTTTCCCTTTCCCTTAAATTCACCTCGAAACTTATTTTGAGCGAATTCCGACTCCTAGCTAATGCGTTGTGTTGAACTTAAATCTACACATTGTCATTTGGTACAAATTGAACCACCCTCTCCAGTCCTCTATTCTACCAGATATATCCCATCATCAAGGGCAGGGAGTGTTGGCTTGGTGGTGTAATGGTAACACGTCTTTGTCTCTTGATCGAGGAGTGTTAGAGTTTAAGAAGAAATTCCCCGTTCGATTCGGGGCCAGGCCTTGGCCAGACCCTGGATGTTTTGGTGTGCATTTTCTTTTCTTTTCGCCGTTGACAAGACAACTTCGCTTGGATTTTCATCGGGTGTAAGGGTTCATCTTTCATCTAGTTCTGTATTTCTGGATCTGAAATTAGCTACCTATTACGCTGTGCCTATTGAGACTTACAGGTATGTTACTTCAAAAATGGCATTTGTTAAAGTTCTGGTTGAAATTCAACCACCCTCTCTTGAGTCTTCTACCTGATATACCCCATCATCAGGAGGAAAAAATGTCGGCCTGGTGGTGTAATGGTGTCTCTTGACCCAGGAGTGTTAGAATTTAAGAAGAAATTCCCCGTTCGATTCGGGGCCAGGCCATGAATATTTCGAGGTTCGGTTTTTTCCCCCGTCTCTTCAGCTTCGCTTGAAGTTTTTGTTCGGCCTTAAAGTTCAACTCACTTGTTTTAACAGTACCTGTGATACACCAGACAACACTAGTCGTAGTGTGTTACAGTGAACTTGAATTTACACATCTGGTTGAAACTTAAATCTCAACCACTCAGTACTGATTCCTGCTACTCTCCATATATAGCACCAACGAGAGCCAGGGATATTGGCCTGGTGGTGTACTGGTAACACGTCTTTGCCTCCTAAACCAGGAGTGTTGAAATCAAAGAAGAAATTCCCTGTTCGATTCGGGGCCAGGCCATTACTTCTCTCGGTTGACTTTTTGTTTTGTTTTTGTTTCTTTTTCTCTTTATTATTGACAAATTTGCTTAAACAGTTTCACATGAGCCACGAAATAAATCATCGGCCTCCAACTGTGCGAAGCAAAGCCAGTTCCAACCCAGCCAACTAGATCCACTTATACTGAGTCGAACAAGGGATTTCGACTCAGATTAATGGAGATGGACTTCTCTCATGTAGAAAGGACGTGTTGCCCTTACACCCGTCTTCCCAACAGAGCTGGAAAACTTGAAGAACCATACAATTCCATAAGTTCTACTCCGGAATTTCAGATTCAGAACTATTCAACCTGTTGAAATTAGCGTTAGCCGTTTTGTGTTGATTCAGTGCAAAGCGCAAGAAAATACTGTGGAAGTCACGAAAAAAGGTGCACAGATGAGACGTGCCGTGTTCAGGAGGGATGTACGATCAAATTTCCATCAGCTGAATTGAAACTCAGCCATCAACCATCAATTTCGTCTTCCAACCGCCGCCATCGACGTATTTCTCGGTGAGTGGTCAGTAAGCTTAATCACACCCAAAGATCTCATCTTAATCTGTCCCATCTCTTCCAGGTAGAAATGCACACCTTCCGATGCTCTAAATGCGGCTTCAGCACCACAGTTCAACTGAAAATCATTCGATCTGGACGTGCCAAAGCCTGGAACTCGGCATCAAAGGCTATTAACCAGTAATGGGCCGCCAGACGACGCTTAACTACCTTTCTTCCAGTCAGTCGTATACGAAACGGAGAAGCGCGTGTCGTCGCTCGATGACGAGATTTCACGACTCCGGGATCGGCTCAACAGGTTGGAGGAAGAGGCTGAGCGCAGTTTATTGTTGCGCCATTGTGTGCAGAGCCATGCCATTATTTCCCTGCTGCGCAGGATACCGCCTGAAGTGCTCACCGAGATATTCGGGTGGACCTTGTCATTCGTTAGAGATACGGTCGATACAAAAACTGCACCATGGATGCTGACCCATGTCAGCTCCCACTGGAGAGCAGTTCCTATCTACATTGACACTCCCTCGTCATGGTCACGGGTATGCATTGATTACACCACAAACTGACATCATTCTTGTTCATTGTCCATCCTCATCTCATCTGCAAGAATTGAGCTTTTGGCTTCGGCAGAGAGATGTCTCAAGCAATATTCTGCTGGATGTCTGTCGGATCCTTCCTCCTCAAATCTTCCGGCCACCTCCAAAGGTTATGCCTTCAAGTCATATTTAATACTCGCAACTGCTGAGCTCTTATCTAAAATCAGACTGAATTTGGCATCGTAAATATCCAATGTTCGTGAACCAGTACCAGGAGAAACTTGGGAGAAACTATTCCCCCGGAGGAAGTAGTATCACAGGGCTTCCTGGTTTTGAGATAAAAAAGTACACCTCCTCAGGGCGTGAGAGAGGAAAGCTTTAGGAAAGCTGAACATTCAACAACACAAACGACATCGGCCGGCCGCCGGGGCTCCGGATCATCTCTCCGAACAAAATCCCGATGGGGAATTGTTGTGTATCGCTGTTTCCTGTTCCCGCCTTTGCGAATTCAAAAGTGACTCATACTCTGCTCATACTTTTCCAGCCATGTCTGCCCGCAATTCTCAAGCATCGTTTAACGCGTCCTCTGAGGAAATCGAACTTGCTCAGCGTCTCCCGCTTCCTCCCTCCACCTCAACATTTTTTATCGAATCGGAACTCTCGAGCTCACCGTCGGCCGGCGTTTCTGCTTCTCCAACTCATTCGCTTTCACCAAATCACTCGGGAGAGACTCTTAGAATTTTGAATGGATCAGTGTTACCTCCTACGGATGGTGGAGCTAGGGCCTGGTCTTTCGTACGCAGTTGATCAATTCATTTTGATGAAGACTTGAACTCTGCTCCAACAGCTCGCTGCTGCGTTTGTCGTCGAGGCTATTGTGTGGGGGTTCCCAAATGCATACGGAGTCTTCTTGGATTGTGAGTGTTTTCGTTTGCATTCATATATTTTTCGAGTATAAGCTGTATTCTTCAGCTTACCTTCATGACCCACGCTACAATTCCCAGAAGAACGCTACATCTCTCCTTCCCCTCATCGGAACCTTGTCGTCTGGCATCATTTATTGTTCCGGTAAGTTGAGATAGTTCTTCAGATGACCGTGTTTACACCTTCCAAATAGGAGTGGTTGTAAATCCTATTGCCGCCCGTTACCCCCACCATCGCCGCAAATCCATGTGGCTCGGGGCGGTTCTTTGTTGCGGGGCTCTCCTCGGAGCAAGCTACACTACTGAGGTTCGTATTACTCGGAGTCAACAGACCAGACTAATTGTTTGGGTCCATAGATTCTTCAACTGATTCTGCTTCAAGGCGTAATCTATGGTATCGGCGGATGTAAGCCCCAGTCAACAGCTGCGAGTACGCATTCAAACGATTCTAGCACTACTTTACTTGCCATGCGTTTCCTTCATGTCTGAATGGTTCGTCGTGCGCAGAGGGTTGGCAAACGGAATTCTCTTCGCTGGTATGTGCTTACCTTACCATCCTGTTTTGACTCGGGGTTTTATGATATATCCAGGTACTGCAGTTGGAGGTCTTCTCCTTCCCCTGGTGCTTCCTGCACTGATATCCAAGTATGGCTCATCAAAAACACTCCGCATCGTCGCTATTGGCATTGCAATCCTGCTTTTTCCCCTTCTGCCTTTCGTAAAGGGCCGCCTTCCACAAACCCGTGCTCGCATTCACGGACCAGCGCCGCGTGGTGCCTCAGGCCCACATGATTGGATGAAACACAAGGCATTCTGGATCTTCCTTGCCGTCAACACTCTTCAGGGCTTTGCATATTTTGTCCCCATCGTTTATTTGCCCAGTAATGCGTTCGCTTCCTCGCCGAATCATCAATTACTGACTGATAGGTTCAGCATTCGCCAACAATCTTCACATTAGCTCCTCCAACTCTGCTGTAACGCTTGCGATGCTAAATGGTGCGTTCATTGAAACGACCACAACTTCCATCCCTTAATCTCGAGAAAAAAGCTGCCTCCGTCGTCGGTCGTCTGTCACTGGGATATCTTTCGGATAAAATCAACCCGTGGCTTTTGGCACTCTCAGCTCTTCTTACAACTTCGGCATCAACCTTTATTCTCTGGGGGATTCTCTCTCACTCTTTTGCGGGGCTATTGGCTTTCAGCATAGCTTACGGAATTGTTGCGGGTGGTTGGAGCAGTCTATGGACTGGTTTTGTTCGACCTTTTGCGAGTACGTTGTTTCATCAGATTGTTATCCTCCACTGAACTCGCGAAACACAGAGGATGACCCCGTCATGTCAACGACACTCTACGGGTACCTTCTCCTCTCCCGGGGTATTGGAAATATTGTGTCGACTCCCATTTCAGCGAACCTGTACGCCCAACCTCGAAATGCGACGGGCGTTGTCGAAAGCACTGGGTTCCAAGTTGGGGACGGTCGGTTCCAGCAAATGATTATCTACGTCGGGACATGCTTCGCCGGCGCGGCTGGTGTTGCTGCCCTGGGTTGGGCTTTGGACGTTCGAAAACGTCGCCAGAATGGTCACGAGTCAGAATGAGGTGCCTGTTGACGTTTCAAGTTGAACTTGGCTCTCCGACATATCGAATAAATAAATGAGTATGCGCCCGAAATATGCTCCAATCCACTCTCCTAATCTCCTTGCCGTCTCGCCCGGATCTATTTCGATAAAAAAATCACCAGATGCCGATGATGAAAGAAACAAGGCGCCAATTTTGAACTACCCCTGCTCTGTATCGTTACTGGATCAATGGTCTGCATTCTCTTCACTCTGACTCTGCCTCGTAGAATACATATTGGGATAGAAAATCTTGACATCCCATGCGTATAACATCGGTCTAGAGGAGGGGAGTGCAGCTGATCAAAGTTGAATGTCGTTGAGACATTTCCTCATAAGCCCTATGTAGGATATGTTGCGATCCAGGCCTCCATTTTTGTGTTGCTCATTCCGGGATTACCAAGAGTGCTAATATAATGCTGGGTGCATATTGCCGTTAGTACTAAGGTGCCAGGTGATGCCCGCTAGACGACGGATTGTACCCGCGGGCCGCTAATGCCGCTATTCTACATCTATGCCGCGTCTTGATCTGCAGTCGATTTTCTAAATAAATCCGTCGCAGAGGGGGCACTGGCCGAAACGATCGGGCGACTAGATTATAGATTTGAGACGGGACGGGTCAGATGTTAGGTTCCCGTTAGCAGCTAAGTATTTCGATGCTTGATGCTCGGGACCTGGAGGGCAATTCCACTGGAGTTGGCAAAGTTTCGTGGTCGCTAAGCCCGCTAGTTGGGTCTAGTAGCTCCGATACCGCCTCTTATGAAGCTACCCGATGATATTTTGTGGAACATGCGGGATTCTGAGTCGGGTGTAAACCGATTATTGCGGTATCTCCTATGCGGAGCAATAGGGTGTTTCACTTGACCTCAACTTGACCTCCAACTTGACCCCAATTTGGATCATAACGCATTGCGTTTTGCCTCCGGAAAGCACAACGACTAGATCAAATCGGACAGATGAAGTTGGGGCATGAAGTTGGGGTCGAAGTTGGATGTCAGATCGTGGTCCGGAGCTCAACTCGACACTCAACTTCGGTCCCAACTTGATTTTGTGTTCCAACTTCATGCCAAGTTGGGGTCCAAGTTGGGGCTCAAGTTGGGGCTCAAATCGGGATGTGTGAAACACCCTAATGCTCGGAATTTGAATGGCGGAAAAAGAATCGCAAGAACGAAGGCAAGGCAGAGCTTGAGATCGACTTTGAATCCACTCGAGAGGAAGGAATTTGGATCGTGGATGGAGGTTTGCCTATGCTTGGATGACACGCTATCGCCGGCCTCTTTTGCTCGATCATGACAATCACCTTTTTCACAAGTTGCTATCAAGGTTTTGCCCGTTCAAGCCTTGATCCTCCCACACTGGACGCTCTGGAAGATCCAGATTCCAGACCTCAGGCAAAGGAGCGG